TACTAGAAATTGTCATGTAATTCAATGCATTTCCTCATTTTCGGTAAAGTTTAAAAAAATTACCAGTATCTAACGCCAATTAGACCTCCGCTCTCTGTCCATGGTGCTGAAATATGCGGCACAATAGATACATTGAAAGGTGTTTTCAGTGTGTGTTTTGAATAGCATAGTAGGTCCTTGACGTCGTGTCACATTGCCATATCTTGGCTTTTCCTGAAACAACACATTACATTTACTGCCAGACTGAAACGTAGTGCTCATATTTTCTTCTGCTCCGCTTGCTCAACTGCCACCTTTGAAGAATGAGCAGAGACAGTTAAGAGCTACCGTGCTGCACAGTGTGCGGGTGAAAATCATTAAAGTTGCGCAGTGATTTTATTGATCATGTGAAAGTTTAGAAGTGGCAGTCATTCAACCGACAGCTGCCTATCTGTGCCAAACAGGGAGAACCACATGTCTCCGTAGCGTGCACACCACAAACAAGGCCGGAGCTGCACTTTCGCATTTTCGAGTTCCACCTTTTTCGTTCCATCAACATTACGTTATCAATTAACCTCCAGTTAATCGATTATTGACATTTGTGAATTGATTCATAATCGTCCAAGTCTGCATCGCGATGCATCTAAAAATCAACTATTTTCCACACCCCTAGTAAGCCCAGCCACTTTGATGGCAGCTGACATCACTAAAACACTTGGATGTTTCTGAGGAAGGCTGTAGTGGCAGCCAAAACAGTTGTGGTAAAAAAACAAAAAAACAACTACTAATTATAATATAGACCAGAGTCAATATAAAAACTACTAATTATAATATATACCAGAAACCATTTGGAAAACTACCAATTATAATAAACACCAGAGTCCATTTGGGAATATACCAGTTCTAATAGCCTATACACCAGAGTCCATTTGAAAACTACTAATTATAATAACACCAGAATCAATTTGATAAACTAGGCCTACTAATTATAAATAACTTTGAGGGGGAAGAAAGCGGCCATATGATTGGACTGATACCTTAATTGAGCCACAGTTTGCGTTGTCGATTTCTTCCCAATAACTGCCTAGTAACCCGTGACAACACCATCAGGGCCGTTAAATAAGATACTAATAATAAAATAATACCACATATTATTGGTTGTATTGGCCATTTAAAGGTATTTAGAGGTAAATAAATAAATAAAACTACTTGGTGAGCTAATCTGTCAAATATATCCCTCATGAATAGGCCTATAAATAACACATTTCAGGGCAGAAATAACCTTTCAGTGAATAAGTAGATGCATCACTTTTTGGCAGGTGGAATAATGCATGTTATGGGTTGTCTTGGCCATTTAAAAGTATTTTAAGAGGTAAAAAAGTAGGGGAGAGCGGGGTAAGTTGTCTCATATGTAAGTTGTCACACTGCTCATAAATCCAACACTAGAGGCTCTATGTCAAAAATCAAATAGCCATTTTGTGTGACTTATTTTTCTATGTTCAACTTCCTGTTTACATGTGGTCACGGTCACTCTAATCTAAGGTGACCACAATTTTATTATTTTTTTGCTTCAAAAGTAAAATATTAGCACTTTACATTTTATGTATTCCAACCTTATTAGGTATGAATGTTCAAAATAATAACTTTGCACAAAGTAGAGGAGACAATAACGTGTCTTTTGATACTTCAGCTGAAGTGCTATGTTAAGCTAACCTTGAGATTTAGCTGACATTAGCACACGTCAGTTTGGGGCAAGTTGTCTCAATGACTTTGGGGCGAGTCGTCACATGTGATTTCTTGCCCCAGTACAAATAAACACATAGAACATGCTCAAAAATGATGAAATTGTGTAATTACCTCTGACATCAGTATTAAATGATTCTGTATATAGAATATTATACACTGTAGTTTACAGCAGCAGCCATATGCCTGGATAAGACTGAATTCATGGCAGAGTATACACGTTCTTATACCATAGGCATGTAGTATGTTAGTAGATACAAACACACACACACACACACTACATGATCCAGTTATTAATTTAGTTAGGCAACAAGGGAAGTAGACAAATACGCTTGTAATTTATTTGTAATTGCAAAGAGGAATGTGTTTTTGAAGGAAGGAAGGAAATTATCAACAGAAGACAGAGAATGGCAGTACACCACCTGACATAATATTAAATAGAGTAGGTGGAGGTAGGTAGGCAGGTGAAGTAAAAGAACAAATCAATCAGAATTACAGCTAAGGATTTTGACATAAGCGGCTGAAATCTCTTTTGGCCTCATCTATGTGGAGCCATTTTCATACAGTATTCCAAAGAAGACATGGTTTAAGTGTGTGAAATGCAACAAATGGGCCTGCGATGTTTGCACCTCAGGCAAAGGCAATTTCTGTGTGCCAGAACTGTGACTCTAAACACATGTATGATTTGTCAGATACATATGTACGTTGTACAGAAATACAGAAATGCAAAATTAGTTACATTAGTGTGTATCTGTTTAGTTAAGAAGTTATACATGTGTGCTCTGCCAACATTTGTGTTTTGATTTAAATGATTTATTTTCCAAATTCTCTAGGCTTGATTGATGATTGATTACATTTGTAGTTCTGGTTACAATTTGAAATCAATATTCACTTTCTCACTGTTTGATAATCCAGTGTGACAACTTACCCAATGCAGTGTGACAACTTACCTGCTGATGGGGCAAATTGTCACAAGTGCACACTCTCTATTCAACAGTCTACAGCTCCATAATGAGATAAGATATGAAGATGTGATGAATACAAAACTTCTGCCCAAGACTCCATTCTGTCATTTGGTATGACATTTGTACCATTGTGAAGGTGCCCAGTAAATGTTAGACAGTGTGAAAAGTGTGACAACATACCCTGCTCTCCCCTACTAGGCGGGTTGTAATATGTCAAATATAACTCTTTTGAATGAAATCTAGTCATTTTGAGGAAGAAATAACCGTTCAGTCAATAACTGATTGATTGCCGTCCGATTTTCGGCACGACCGTCTCTTTTCGGCAGGACACTTGATCTGATAGCCTGAGAATCGAAAAAGCCATCAAATAAAAAAAGGCTGTGGTTGATTGTGGCGTGGATGGCCATAACCCCTCACAATCATAAAGTGTAGCCTATGTGTTGCTGCCTTCTTTTGCTCCTCTAAAGCAGGTCGTGCATTTAGAAGCAGTTTTTTTCCCGACTGTGCTTGAATGCAAAGAAGACAAATGAAAAATAACTTGAGAAAAGCTGTTGTGACCCTCATGGCATCTAATCGTTATGCAAAGAGAGCAAAAACGCACCACTTACTATTGTATTTAGAGGACAACAATAAGTTACGTTATGAAGTCTGTAACGAGGAGTTGCTTTTTTACTTATGATGTTACTCAACATCGGACAGTAATGATAAACATCAATGGAGCTAACGGTGAGCATCAAGGACAAACTGCTCTGTGCAGGTTTAGTCCGTCAGTCATACAGCGACGCGCAGGACGCGACATCTCCACACCGCATCTCTGAGAGCAGCTTTCTCCTTTCTATCTGTAAGTGACACGCTCAAGTTTCGTTTTCAGAAGTATTTTACTAGAGCTCTTTTGTGCAGAAGATGTCCCAAAATGAAGGGGGTTTTAACCAAAACACACTTTACATTTTATGGGAAATGTCATCAACATTCTGTAAGTAAGAAAAATTTATTAACAACGTTGTTTTTATTTATTTCTGTACTGTCCATATGTAGATGATAGCCATTGGAAAAATATGTTTTCTTTAATGTCATCTATGTTTTAGTATCTATTTATATTATATTTTATATTTATATTATCTTTAAAAGGTTAGGGTTATAGCCTCTCTTGTGCAGAATGTAAGGGATGTCTCTGCTACAATACTTCCAATGCTGTTTTAAAGTAGGTGAAATAAGCGCAGAACTGCAATGCGCCATCAGTAAGGTAGTGCTTTGAGATAAACTGTCCCCAGGGGTCCTTGAAGAGGATCCAGGGGGTCCCAGCAAAAACGGAATTAGTTTATTTTCACTATTATTCCATCCATAAGTTACACAATGGGGACACAATCTTATCAAATGTGGGTCCATGGTCTAAATTGTGTCAGTTTAGGGGTCATTGATTTGAAAAAAATTCAGAATCATGCTATAGATGCTCAACCAGGATTTTCTTGTTCTGCTTAACAGTGTTGTTTCCTTTTTCTTTATGATTTAAGACTGAGGCATTGTATTAACTGTATTATATTAACTGCATGGGACTTTCATGTGTCTGATATTGAAAAAAACACATTATAAGAGAGACAGGTCATGTGACTTCTAAGAAAAACAACAAACACATTTCTCTGTGCTCAACTTAAGTCTGAGTTTAAGATGTGGACTGACTAGTCAAAAGCGCTTCAAAGTCACCATGCAGTTCATGGTAGCAGTTGAATAGTCTTTTTTGCTTAGGAAGGTCCCTAACTGAGTGACAGTATCTAAGTGGCAGCTATAAGAGAGGGCTGAATTTTCTAATCGCTAAGGTGCTTAATTGCTTCCTTTCTTAAAGGGCATAGGGTACACTGGACCATCCTTTACTAAAGGAAAGGAGAGAATGCTGTCCCACAATTATTTGCAGCAGCGTGATTGTAGTTTCATCACAGCAGACCCTCACAGATGTAGAAACAACAATGATGACACAATCCAGACTTTTGGAAGTCCTTGAATGATTGGCTGAGCTCCAAATCCATACTCAACACTTATGTCAGCAGCTGAAATTGTTTTGTTCTCTTTCCTCCTCTCAGTCTTTCCAGTAAGGAAGGACAAGTCCGCAGTGATGAACAGGACACAAGACATTATTGCTTTGATCTGCTTGCTGTTCCTTAGATTGCCAAAGGTTAGTTTTGGTAAAATCCAATATTAATCATTTTTCTTGGATGAATGTAAAGTAACCCAACTCCACAACTCTTTCTCATTTCTATCTTCAGAAATGTCTTCCAAGACGACTTAATGAAATGTTCGACGTCTAAAGTATTTTTTGGGAAATGTCCTTACAGTTTGAGATGGCCAGCGGGAAAGTCTTAGAGGAGACTTATCGGAAGTGGGTCCAGTATAAAGAAGACTGTGTCAAAATGATAGAGAATGAGCCACCCCTTCAAGGTATGGAGACAATAGATTAATTTAGTATTGATTCATCGTGCAAAAGGCGATATGGCAAGAGGTGGGAAAGGAAAGGAAAGGAAAGAGATCGATATGCTCCTAAAATGATCATCTGTGTTTTTTGTGTTAAGGAACAGAAATCTTTTCATTTTTTTTGCCATTGCAGTGGGCTTGTTCTGCAACCGGACATTTGACAGATACGCCTGCTGGCCAGATACTCCTGCCGACTCTGGGGTCAATATCTCATGCCCTTTCTACCTGCCATGGTATGACAAAGGTAAATCAAACTTTTGAGTCTATCTTTGACAGAACTAACTATCAGTTTCCATTTGAGTATGCTTCCAAAATTTTACATTTATAGTAAAGGAAAGCATGTATTGTATAGGGGGTCACTTAAATGAATAGTTGGACATTAAAGACATGAAATATGCTCACTTTCTTGCCAAGAGTTAGTTGTGAAGTTTGATAATACTCTCAGATCTCTCCATTCAATAAGAAGTTACAGTCAGGCGACAGTTAGCTTAGCTTAGCACAAAAATAAAAATAGGAGACTATCCACACGTAACAAAATCCACTTACCAGCACCTCTGAAGCTCAGTGATTAAAATGTTACCTCTTGTTAGTTTAAACAAAAAATAAGTGTAAAAAGGGTTTTGTACTCTACTTTCTTCTCCCTTTATGCTAGAATGATAACATGTCTAGGCTAATTAATTTTTGTCCGCCCAATAAATACTGTAATTGGCTTCAACCCACTGTAACTCTTATTAGGAATAAGGGGGTAAGGACTCAAGTACTGTTTCTCCTCTAGTTTCCCAGGGTGTTGTGCGTCGGCGGTGTGGCTCTGACGGCCTCTGGGAGAGAGAGAACAGCGGGCAGGTGTGGAGAGACAAGACTCAGTGTGAAGAGGAAAAAGAAGTCACATCACAGGAGGTAAGGAGACCAAAATGTCTCCAGCTCAGGGGTTTATTTGTTGCACCCGTGAGCACTTCTTGCTGCTCAAACGTTTGTATTACGTATATTCTCTAGTGAGGTAGTTTATTTTGTTTAGCGTTCAAGCGCTGTTGAAACTGTGATTGTTTGAATGCCAATTAGAAGCATTTGTCAACTGTAAAAGAAGTGCAAGAATTAATTCTTTGTTGCAAGTTTTGAAGGAGACATTAGACAAATATCAGAGCTATGACAACAGGGCAAACTTTTTATTCCCAAATTGGGGAAAAGGTGTAAAAAATGATCAAATAAAAAGCTGAAAATTGTCATCATGATAAAATGGAGACATGGTGTATAGGGATTTATTAATAGAATTGTAAATTTTTTTAAGTTCTTTGGAGCTGCAAAAAATGAAAAAAACAATTCATTCCTAAATACGAAATAAAAGTCAAATATATATTAAAAGCATGTCAGTGACAATAAAACCAAAAGCCAATTTGAAAAAATCAGTCTTCAGCAGGTATAATTAATATTCTTATAACAACAATGGATCACATGACTACATGTTATGTGAAAGACAAAATGAGCATCTAGCTGGTGGACATAGTTGAGCTTTTAGCAGCTAAAGTACTTTCTGATGTCAGCGTTTGACATCAGAATATGACTAGACATTCAAGGCTTCATGGTGGAAAGATTGTGAGCGTGTTAACGGGAGATTTCTGATGGGTTTATGAATTTCAACTCTCACCTCCTTCCACTATCTGAACCACAATCATCTGGTAATCCCAGAATCAGTTATTTGCAAATGTTACATTCTTGAGATTGTCATACTTTAGCTCTTGTCTTATTTTTAGAGTCAGTCATCTGAGGTTATATTGGCGAAGTAATTTATGAGTTCTGACTTCATAATAATGAATGGTGTGGATTTGTCTTTTATAGCTGTGGATCAAACAACTGATGGTGAGCTTTAGGATGTTTTACACTGTCGGATATTCCTTGTCCCTCTTTGCGCTCATAACAGCTCTTGTCATTCTCCTGAGCTTAAGGTAAGCTGTCTAACAGATGTGCTGTCTTTTTTTTCTTTTGTCGTATTAGTCACCAGTGTGTCAAACATACCTCATGAAGCTGCTCAAAAGATGATAGTAAAGAGTCTGCTTGATTTCTTTCCTCTGTCCCCCCTCTTTGACAAATAGATAAGGCAAGATAACACGCTGCATTTTTAAAATCAAATAAAATACCCCATAATTGTCAAGATCTTCAGCATTCATATCATATCATTCATTAAGTACTAATTCAGATACAGAAGATGGGATTATGTAATCAGATATTGAACGGAATCAGCAGATCTCAGTTTTACTGTTGCATGGGGCTAATTGTACTTTTAGTATGCACAGTGATGAAACAGAAAAGTGGAATGATTAAAGGGTGATCAAACAATGGCAATATACAAAAGAAATCTAAGAAAAATTATGTGCAGATTATGTGCCTTTACAGGACATATAACAACCGGCCAAGATGAGAAAATAAGAAAGCCACAAAAAAAATACACATTTAAAGTCAAAAATGTTGGTACTTTTGTGTCCCCTGACAGGAAACTGCATTGCACCAGGAACCTCATTCATGCTAACCTCTTCCTGTCCCTCATCCTGCGAGCTGTATCTGTCATTGTTAAGGACACCATGCTGGAACGCCACTGGGGACGAGAAATCATCAAACAGACCGATGTGAGAGAGATGCTCAGTCACCAGGTAGGTCTTGAAATGTACTGATGATGGTTTACTGTTGTGTATTTGTTGTAGATCACCACTAAAAAGTATATAACATAGAGGAGGCTAACACATTCAGATACTTTAATGAGGCAGGTTTAAACATAAGCCTTATGTAATATGTGATTTTTTTAATGACCGTTTCCTCTAGGCTGCCATTGGCTGCAGGATAGCACAGGTGATGATGCAGTACTGTGTCCTGGCCAATCACTATTGGTTCTTTGGAGAGGCTATTCATTTGTACTCTGTGCTTATTGCCTCAGTGTTCATCGATAACAACAAATACTTACCTTACATCTGTCTTGGCTGGGGTAAGTTCTATCTCTTTCTACCTGTGTGTCCAAATGAACATGCATCTATGGAGGGGTTTTTCCCCTTTTTTCGAAAGAGCACCTCAACACAGTGAGATACAAAACAGCTCACATTTGAAAAGCAGGCCCATTGCAACAGTAGAAAGTTTCACACTGTCACGCCTCTGTCCCTTTCTAGTGCGCCAGCTGCACATCAAATCAGCTGATCTGACAGCACTGTAGGATGCCATGGAAACATTTACACAGCACCCACCTGTTTAGTTGTTTAGTTGCACCCGAAGCAGTTAACCTTGCAGTCTTTACTGACTTTGTCCTAGGAACTCCACTTGTATTTGTGGCTCCCTGGGTCGTGATGAAGTTATTGAAAGAAAACAAAGAGTAAGTGTGTGTGAGCACTTCATGTGTAGACCCCTACCCCGACAGATCCAGTTTAGGCAGTGGAGAAATAGTAACATCTGCCTTTTCCTCTCAGGTGTTGGGCTGTCAATGAGAACATGAACTACTGGTGGATCATTCGTTTCCCAATTCTTTTTGCTTCACTAGTAAGGCTGATTCACGCATGTGTCATCATCTGACATTTTGGACTCCTCCGTGTAATATATGGCATTATGTTTGGGGGGTTTTCGCATGATACTACAATTAATAATAAGATTTTCTGATCAACAGATCAACTTTCTAATTTTCATAAAGATCCTGAAGGTCATACTTTCCAAATTACGAGACCGCAACCAGAGTGGATATCCTGATTACAAACTTCGGCAAGTTGTCTCAGCATATTTTCAGTGATGATAAATTAGATTTGTTTGACTTTTCTGTCAATTTTTTTTCAAGCCAAGGCCATGTGTCTGGCACAGAAAAGCAGTGATGGATTTTAGTAGGATGAGGAACAAAAATCAGAAAAATTAATGTTGACAAAAACCTATTTGTATGGTTCTATGACAAATTGCTCTGCCCTTTTATTTGTCCTGTTAGGCTTGCCAAGGCAACCCTTACCCTCATCCCTCTCTTTGGGATTCATGAGATTGTGTTCATCTTTGCTACAGATGAGCAAACAACAGGCATTCTGCGCTACGTTAAGGTTTTCTTCACCCTTTTTCTCAATTCATTTCAGGTAGGTTCAATTGGATTTATTGCTTGCTATTGCTGATATGTCTGACAATGTAACTGTCTAAACATGTAATGTGGTATAGTAAATATAATACACGTTGCTTAAATTAAACAGGATTCTCCCTGCAGGGCTTTCTGGTGGCTGTGCTCTATTGCTATGCCAATAAAGAGGTTTGTTGTTTCATCTCATATTATCATTTCATTTTACCCTAGAAGGTATTGATTAGCCATATGTCCCAGTCACAGTATCTGAGAGATAACAAACATGAAGCTACATAGATGTAAAGGTATAAATAGTGGCTTAAACCATATTATATTGTTAATAATCCTGGTGATGGGATGATCTATATTCATTTTCTGAAGAAACCCATTTAGAGTTGTCAGGTGGGAACTGCAGACAGATCATGTAAGGATGACTTAATAAAAAAGACAGAATGTATTGTTAAGTCATCCATTTTTAAATTTTAAATTTGCTGTAGCTTTGCTAGCTGCTTGCTTGGCAGTCACTACAGTCAAAACTATGGTGAATAATAGTTTTAGTTTCCAAATAATTTTCAAGAATCAAATGTGTCATTCTCATTCTGAAATGGCTCACCTCCACTCTGGGTGCAGGTGAGGACAGAGCTGAAGAGGAAATTACGCAGCTGGAGGATAGAGAGTGAGACTGTATGCTGTGGACAATGACTAGCCGTGCTTGACTCTCGGGTAGAAACTTTCTCCATCGCCACAGTGCCAGAGTGCAACAGATCCTCCGCCACGACGACGAGGGCAATGCCTGATGGTTCACCCACTCTTGAGAGTTCACAGAATCTTAGACGTCAAGTTCAGCCAACCTCCTCACAGCCCAATGAGTCTTTGCCGCGCTGTCCATCAGTGGTGAATAAAGACAACAGCCTGCAGCGCAGAGATCAGGATGACAATGGACAATCATCTGTGGCAATGCAGGTGTCCTTCCTCATTCATCTTCAAGACCCTGTAGAGTTACTCCCAAATGTTGCAAATATAGATTCAGACTGAACACAGTCTTGCATTCACATGTTTTTGCGAATATGTAAAAAAAAGTTGTAACATTATGAATATGTGAATGTGATAATTTAAGACTTATTTATGTAAATAAGAAAAATTATAAGGATATTTGCTTGTATTGACTTTTTTATTGTGTAATGGAAGGATATGCAGGATGGGCAATCACAGGAAGTCGGCTAGTAAACAAAACAGTGTAGTCAACAGAAAGTCACAAAAATAGTTAATCTACACCAGAACTGTATGCAGTGTCTTCTTTACAACATATCTTGGGTAGTAATTTATAGCTTTTTCCTCTCATATGCCACAGTTTCTTTGGTATTCCTTTTGCTCTGTGAACTTCATTACCCAGAAGCGCCAGGGAAAGCAACGCACAGACGTCATGAGCGTCGTGCTGTCGTTGGCAACGGCGGAGGCTGGAGCGGGAAGGATATAACTAAGCTCTTGATGTCAAATCAAAACTAGTGTTTATTTGGTACCCGGGAGAACTGGAAATGCTCTCGCAGCTCATAATGATGTGAAGCAATATGTTTTGTCGTTTTGACCTCCGGGAAACGGAGAAGGAGCTTTCTTCTGTGATTCAGCTGTCTGTTTGCTAACAGCTAACATATCTAAATGTACACTTAGGTTAGCTGCTCGAGTTTTAACAAGTTGGTCAACAGGTTGATTTCCCATTTGTGATATTCGGCTTCAATGGCATCCAAAGGTAAAATAAACTAACTTTTATTGATAACGTTACGTCAAATTATACAGCAACAGTTAATGTTATTAACCGTGAAGTTTGCTGAACCCTGTTTTGGACTATGCAGGTTGGCAGCATCCTTATGTCAACATATTTAAACATGTCAGAGTTGAAGACTGGAAAAGGTCGGCAAAAGAGGGAGATGTGTCAACATACACGGTAACTTCATACTACTATAATTGTGGTATTTAAAGTTTTACTTTATTCCCAAACTGTATTTTGAATATTAAATACCGCTGTAGGCTGGTAAGCTGGCTGTTAAAAGTTTGGAGGTGTGTTGTACGGCAGCTTTGATTGAAAAAGGATTTCAACAGTGACCAGATTCCATTCAGGAAAATAGTAACAAACCCTCCATAAAGACTTAAGACTCAAACCAATCCTTCAAGATAATCCTCTTCTCTGCCCTCCATCTGTAGGCTTAGTATGTCCAAACAGTAATATGTTAAATAACATATATGCTAAATAAACAGCTTTTGTCTTAGTCCACCTGAACGAGCTTTGGCAGGGTTATTGATTTTGGGTGGAGTATCACTTTTCAACTATAAGTATCCAGACCAAACTTATTATTGAAACTATTACTTACTTATTACTGATTATTTTATGTCGGCTTTCCATGAACTTCCCCAGAACAAGACACTGAAGTGCTCAGTGTTCCAGATCAGGGGTCCTGTTCCTGCCAACAGCTATATCCTGGTACCCAAAAACAGCAATCAGTCTCTGGGGCTGACAGGGCGCTACTTCTACCTTCTCTTCAGACCTACCCCTGGCAAATACTTTGTGGTTCACCTGGATGTTTCTGCTGAGGTATCCAACCTTATTTTTACTGGATAATCCTGGGCATATGTGTGATGAAATCAAGAATATTGATATATCTATGCTTTTTTTATGTGACTGGTGTTTATTTTGAAAGTCCATCAGGAGACTAATCCACAGCTCTGCCTTTTTTAACATTTTTTGTAATTCTTTGACATTTCAAAAATATGTACAAACATGGTATGGTGTACATGTGGTACATGATTGGTTAATATAGTTTTGTTTTTTTAAGGAAGACATTTTATTTCCCTCTTCCTCTTTGTGCTGTGATGTGTAGGAGGGCCAGGTGGTCCGTATTTCCTTTTCCAACATGTTCAAAGAGTTCAAGTCCACAGCTACCTGGCTTCAGTTTCCTTTCCTGTGCGGAGCTGCAAAGGATTCAGTCTATGAAAGCACAGCCAAATCCGCAAGACATGGTAAAACACCTGCATGCACAAGCATCCATAATTATGTGAAGATGAGCCGTTGTTCGTGTGCATTTGTTTTGATAGTTCACTGACTTTTTCTTGAGTATAATGTAAATAATTGTGCATGATTTATGTTTTGTGGTCCAGGTTTGGTGGGTCCAGCTCCCATTTCAGTGCGTTGGACTTGTCTGATGCTGGATCTGCAGTACACCGTATCGGTCTACCTCAACCGCTGCTACAGTCACGTGAAGAGCATCAAGCTTTGTGCCAACATGACAGTGAAAAACATGTTTACTAGTGACCTTCTGCTAGATCCAGGTTAGACTCAGCCAACTAAGTCTACTTTCTGTCTAAAACTATGGCTGTACAGTATACATTATATATGTACACTTCATGTCTATGTGTGAATACCACTGGTGGTTTTCTACTGAGGTGAATAATAAGAGAAATGCAAAAGTTTACTAGTGCTCTTTTTTTAAAGGGCACTTCGATAACTTCGGTCTATCACAGACTTGAAAATGGCTTAATTATTGGAGCGCTATTAATCTTAAACCATTGCTTATTCAAACCACTCAATTCAGGGACCTTTGGTAGCTTGTTAAAATACATTGTATACTGAGAATATGTTGAAAGCACTTAAAATCCTTTATTAGGAGAAATATGTTCTTCACATATCTATCATTCTGTGTCAGGCCTAATCAGACTCCTTCAGATTTCTGAATAGACTACACAGTGTCCTCTTTGTGTATTTATGACATCTTTACTTTTCTCATCTACTTGTGCAATTTTATCTTTCAATAGGAGTTTCCTTCAGTGAAGCCAAGCTGATGGGTCTGGCCTCTTCTCAGGGAACAGGTCCTATGCCCAGAGACATGTCATTTCCTGTGCCCAAGGGAGGCTCCTGGCACGAGCTCTATGATTACATCAGGTACAATAACCTCACCTGGGTACATGATGTACATCACTGGAATTATGCTACAAGCACAATCTACCCTGAACTACTTTTTCTAATTTCTGGGGTCATAATGTTTGGTAGTGTTTTGTTGTTGTTTTTAATCCCCATTTGTGTAACTATGTTACCCTAACAGGTTTCCCTCAGAAGGAACAAAGTTACCATTTGACTCCATTCAAAAAGGCAGTCCCAGGCATGAGGCTAGTAAGTCATTTATTCTAAAAAAGGAATTTCTGTACCCCACACATATTGTATCATTTATTTTATTCTGCTCTTTTTTTGTTAAATTGTTTTGTTATTTATTCATCAAAGTAAATGAAGTTAGTTCCATTGGAGCTTTAAATAATCCCTATTTAAAGACAAATACGTGGGTTTAGAGCTGTTCTGTTCAGACACATTTTCTTTTAGCCTATGTACTTCAAGGTATTGTAGATGCCTGACTTTCATATCCCTTCTTGACCAGGATGTGTCTCCAATCCAAGAAGCCCTATTAGAGAGAAGGCTCGCTGTGTCAACCTCAGCAAACCAGTTCAGGACCGTGTGTCCCTCATCCAGCAGATTACCACTCCAAAATCAGTAAGACTGATAACATTTAGTACCTTTTAAATCATGTTTCAACTTTCTGTGATTCCAATCCGCTTTAATTTAAAAAAAAGAGTAGCAGATTGTTTCGCTTGATCCTTGAGTTTTCTAGGGGGCTGCTATTGATTAATTAATTCATTAATTCATTAATTTTTTTTGTTGTTTTCTACTTCTGTCCCCTCAGCTCCCGAGAAATCAAACCCCCGTGGTGACCAATATACCCGAGCTGGGTTTAGTTTCCACTCATCAGAAGGATGACAGGCTTTGGAATAATGATCACCATCATCAGCAGGAGTCAGCATGCTCCAGTTCACATGAGCTCACATCCAGGCCACCCTGTGAAAGTGATGAAGGGGGATTTCACGTGTACGTGCATGGAGAAGAAAGTGAAGAAGAGGTGAAGTTTCATTTTGACTGTAATGCACATTCAGCCAAACTTGAAAGCATAAGAAAACCAATTGACCCTTCGCTAAGCCATGCCCAAATACTCTGGCCAATCACAGCACAGTATAGGACTGGCTCTAACTGAGGTCCGACACTTTCATGGATGCGCTCCATTGACTCTAATGTAAAAAGAGTCTTTTTTTGGCTGTATTTTTCTAAGATATGGTCAAACACTGTTCCTGGGGCACTTGTAATAGTTACAGTCGCTACCCAGAGAGGCTGATAAGTACGATTTATTCACTTTCCAAAACCTAAAATAAATCCAGAAAAATGTTGGCTGTGGATCGTTCCTAATGTAATGTAGTTAGCTAACTTCCTACTGAATGTAACGTCCTACTGTTCTGCTTTTTAATGATTGTAATATGATGTACAGGAACACTGTTGATCCTTAATATCGTTGTCTTTTGTCTCAATCGTCGGGGGATGTGGTGGTTCACTTGTACTGTGTGATCGGTAGGTTTTAGCTTCTATCTTACATTTTTTTTCACGTCCGTTTGAGTCAGTTTGACAGCCTGAATACACCATTCAGATGTATAATGCAACTGCAAAACTGTCTGCTTCTTTCTGAGCTTTTTCCAGCACATTTGACAATATTTCTCCGGGGACTGCAGTTCTAGACAGTGGCAGCGCAGGCAGTTTTTTGGACTTAGCAACAGTAACTAAGGGTGGCGTGGCTTAGTGAAGGGTCAATTATATTCCACATTCCTCTCTCTTTTTGTACATCATGTTCAGCACAATTCATGTCCTTGATATTGGAAAAACTGTTGATCTTGTTATATCCTCAGTTCATTTGCACTCCTGTCCCACATCCTGTCCATCTAACATCGTCCAAAGAAACCAGGCAGCAGGTAAGATATGACAACAGTGGACACTGAATTTAATCCAGCTGCAGAGACATGAATTTATTAAGCTTACTACAAATCTTTGCCTTTTTAATTTTTCTGCTCTGCTTATTAGAAACTGCTTCCAGACCCAATTCTCAGGCTCAATCGAATCATCGGCTTTGGAGGAGCCACTACTAAATGTGTATGCTCAGTTGGAGAATAAAATTCACTACACCAATGACTGATTGCAGTCTATCAGCTGAACTGAACTGTATTCCATTATAGGCCCTGTGGACCAAAGCAGGTGATGCAGTGGTGTATCCGTGTCACGCAATTATCGTTTCTATGAAGATATCCTCTAACCAGCAGAGATTCTTCATCGGTCACACTGATAAGGTAAATGAGCTGTGATGTGTTGCTCTACCTCCGCAGCAGAATCTCTTCTAACGTGTAGGGTTCACCTAGTGCCCGGCCTTGTATTGCAGTTGCATTCAATAAAGAGAGAATTTGTATGTGTATTCATTCTGGAATTTAAATGAACATCTGTCCATGTGTTTTCTTTGTAGGTATCTGCACTGGCTTTTAATGGAAACACAACACTGCTGGCCTCAGCACAAACTGGCCACGGTGTAGTTCGAGTATGGAACTACAACAAAGGAAACTGCCTGGCAATGGTCAGGGTTCACGCTCATTCAATATCTTCTCTCAGGTAACGAACTTCAGATACATATGCATTCCCGTACATACAGTTATCTTACATAATCATTGAGGTCTAACTAAGCTTTAGAGTTGCAATGATTAATGGATTAGTTGTCATCTATTAAATTAATCGCCATCTATTTTGATAATCAATTATTTGGAATGAGTAATTTTTTAAGACAAATTCTCTGATTCCAGCTTCTTAAATGTGAATATTTCTGGTTTCTTTGCTCCACTTTGACAATAAACTGAATATTTCTTAGACCAAACAACTGATTGATTAATCGAGAAAATAATCCACAGGTTCATTTACATTGAAAGTAATCGTTAGTTGCAGCCCTACTACAATGTTTGCTCACTATTTTTGTCTTTTATGTTCTTTTTCCATTTTGAAGTTTCTCATACGGAGGCGGTATTCTCTGTGGAGTGGGTAAAGACAGCCACAGTAAAACAGTAAGTGCCACACATGCAGATTTCCCCACATGAAAATTCAAGGCCTTAGTTTCTAATTTGTGTCTGAAGACAATTAGCACCAGCTGCACTGTGGAGAGAGCTAGACGAAAAAATGCCAAGCAGCACCTCATATCATTATTTTGACTGATATAATTTCAAACGACACGCTATAAATTGCTCCCCTTATTAGTCTATGACTCCGCAAACCTGCGAGCTGACTGTCTCTGTTTGTCGTCCTATTTCCAACGTTCATAGATGGTGGTGGTGTGGAACACTCTGAACGTTAGTAAAGGTGGAGAGGTGACCATCTTAGCCAAAGCACACACAGATGTCGATATCCACACCATAAAGGTTGCCTTCTTTGATGATACAAGGTACCCTCTATTCTCGGTGTTTGTATTTTTATCTGTATATTTGATTATGTCTTAGTCAACAGTCCATGTTTGCATATTGGAACATTTTTGTGCATATGTCTGTCGAGTAAATGTTGATGAAATTGGTGCAATTGCTCTATTTTATTAAATTATCAAACAATTTTGACAGTGTTGCCAATGAGCCACACATTACTTCTTGTTAGGTCTGTAGCTAATATAAGATAGACATTTATTTTCACAACTTCTACAACAAGAGTTGTGTTAATCTTGCAGACGTGTCTGGACAGATATCAGTCCACTCTCTCACTCACCTTCTGTGTCTTTGGTACTTTTAGTGCAGGAAGGTGTCAAACACCTTGATGTGAGAGTGGGAGAGGGGAAAAGGTTGCAGCTCCAGAAACCAGAAATAAATAAGCATCATCCAGCCAGTAAATTAGAACCCGTGAGTCTATGGGTTAATCTGTGAGTCTGCTGGTTTCAGGATGGTGTCATGTGGTCGTGACAACATTCGCCTGTGGCGAGTGCGGAATGGGTCCCTGCGCTCCTGTCCAGTCAACCTGGGTGAATACCATTCTATGGACTTCACTGATGTTGCCTTTGAGGAGGGAAACTCGTCCAATTGGCACCTTGATGATCGAACACTGTGAGTGAGCAAACCAGTCATTAAACCATACAGGTTTATGTTGCAGTGGAAGAAAATAATCTAATCCAAATCCACAGAAAACATTATATTATTAAGGGCTTACATTTTTTCCTCTGTGATTGTGTTTGCACAGATTTGCCAGCAGTCGGAGTGGCTATATCTTTGAAATTGACTACAGCAGAGTTGTTATCAGAAATGTCAGGAGGCTGTTGCCTGTACAGCAGCAGCATGCAACCCGCAGAGACAAATGGACTTTTTACACAGGTGTGTCTGAATCAAACTTGTCAAAATGTTATTTAGTAGTTTACAGCAAGGGTTGTGTATAGGGGAAACTTTGTTATGGTATGTGTGTGTGTGTGTGTGTGTGTGTGTGTGTGTGTGCGCGCGCGTGTTCCAGGTCCAGGTATTGCTATCAACAGCATCAGTGTGTCCTCATCATTCTGCGCCACAGGCTCTGAAGATGGCTTCCTGCGGCTCTGGCCACTTGATTTTTCTGCCGTCTTCCTCGAGGCTGGTAGGCACAGTAGGCTATGGCATAACATTCAGCAAACAAACGAGCTGAGTTCCGCTCCAAAGGCAGTGATATAATCTTTAGTTCATGTATATTTAAATAGTCTTTTTCTAGTTTGCAGGGGGTCATTTTATCAGGTTGCATCTGTCCTGCACTGTTAACAGTGCCAATACACTCAGTTTAACAACAGCCAGCGAACTGGAAATTAGTTTCACACCATGTTGGAATATTCCAGTCCAGTAGTGTCACACGTCCCTATGTAGCGGTCGTCTTACGTTCACTTAAACTTCACTCAGTAAAAAACTTACTACGTTACAAATCACAAGGACCAGGCAAAGCAAAACAGATTGCGGGTGGAAATATACGGAAAAAAGACAAGTTCTGTGTCTTTTAGGCAACTTTATAAAACATACTGCTGATGGACAAATTGGAGCAGACAGAGGGGGATAGAGACGGGGCAAGCCGGTGTGCTTGCCCAAGCCTATCGCATTTGTGTACTAACATTCATATCCAGTGCACCACTAATGGAGACTCACTCTGGCACATTGTTTTCCAGAGCACGAGGGACCTGTGAGCCTTGTGTCAGTCTCATCAGACAGCCTTCAGGTCCTGGCAGGCACCTCTACTGGTAACCTGGGTTTCCTTGACGTGAGCAGCCGTGGTTACAACACACTGATGAGGTCACATACAGACACTGTGCTCGGTTTCAGTGTGGATGGCATTCGTCGACATCTCACAACAGCCTCCTCCGATGGCACAGTGCGCATTTGGAATATGGATTCCTTGCATCAGGTCAATCAACACCACATTTACATGTTTTTAGCAACTATTACTACCTCTTTATATCGTGTCATTATTTCATCTACACCGCGACCTGTATGCAGGATAAGCGGCTGACGATGGATGGATGGATGGCTGGATGGATGGATTATTTCATCTAAGAGGCACTGTTTGAATTTTTGGATTCAAAAGGCTCAAATCTATGTACACAATTTCACTGTACAAAAACATAAACACTCTATGTAGTTTTTTGTCCATTGTTCTTTCTCTGTCCAAGCAAGGTCATTCAAGGCTCTGTTTTTGGTCGTTGTCAAACTGATCTGTGCTTTAGAAAGGTAGAGATAGTTGTCAGACAATTCAGATTTGTGCTTGATGATTAAAGCCTCTTTCATTATACTTGGAGCAAGTCAGAAATGTGTGTCCGTTACCATTGTTTTACCACTTGTGTGTTTACTGTTGAACTAAATGTTGTTTTCTTGTGCTTAGTTGTATGATTTTGTGTCAGAGGACAGCCCCAGCTCAGTGGCCTTCCATCCCAGCGAGCAGGTCTTCTCTTGTGGCTTCAGCTCCGGCATCGTCAGAGTCTTTGACATATCCAGTGCCAAGCTGCTGGCTGAACACAAGTAAGTCTAAACTAATGTGTAAGCTCCAGCTCCACCACCTGCTGCCGTTCTTTTTTTGGATACCAAAAGTATGCGTTGGGCGCAGTTACTACATGCTATAATATCATATGTCAAGGTGTGTATAATTACTAAAAAATACAGCTGGATACAATCGATTCCACCTCGGCCAGTCTCAGTTATGGGCCAGCTGGTAGAGACACAATACGGTGCATTTATGATGTGTTGCTACACATATACATGGTAAAAAATTCTAATTTACCATCTAAACTACCATTGTGTTCTTGTTTTTCTGTATGTATGATTGTTTGTGTTTTATGTATATATATTTAGGCAGCACAGAGGTGAAGTGGTGGGTCTTGCCTTCTCTCCAGATGGGGAGTTCATGTACAGTGCCGACTCCCAGGGCTCTCTGGCACTTTACGACGCCTCTGAGGAAGACCACAGTGCGATCAGAGTTGTGTGTATGTAGACATAAGCACAAACCAGTGCACAGACACACCCAAGTTAATTTCAGTACGTCATATGTTACATTTATCATTGAAATGTGAACTTAAATCAGCTTAATCACATAAACATTCATACATTAATTTTATTTGCTAGCTATTCCATTAAATAGATTCCATGCAATTAACAACACTAAGATAATGCCTGCACTTACTTATTGTGTATTATTAGTTATTACTCAATAACTTACTGGTTCAAATTGCAGACACAAGCTAACATATCATGCAGCCACGTTCAACATCAATGTTGTTTGTCCCTGATTGGCTAGGTAATGTGGTGGCCCGAGGCACTGAGCGCGCTCCAGACGCCTTGACTGTGAGCAGTGACAGCCGCTGTCTGGCTTTTGTTGGTCCATCGGAGTACATTGTCACCATCGCTGACGCCCGGTCATTGGATGAGGTATTGTGCGCACTGTCACCTTTCGGCATCGTGCCATTTGTCACGTTGATCAGGTATATTAACTGGTTATGTGGAATTCTCTTTTTGGAGTTTTTCCCAAAATCATATACCATCAGAAGGTGTTCTTAAGCTGAACGTAAATGTTTATAATAATCCCATTCTGCCCACTTAATATATTCATCATGTCGCCTGAGCTTTGGTAGTGATGTTGTTCTGGTATTTATGTCTTACTGTGTGTATCCACACTGATCCTTTCCATCTCTGTCTAGTTGCTCCATGTAGATGTCAGTATTTTGGACGTAGAGAGCCCCCGTCTTGATTCTGCGCTAAAGGTCTGCTTCTCTCCGGCCTCCACTGAACACTTGTTGGTTGCCACATCTGCTAACAAGATCCTGTGGGTTAGCACCAAGACAGGTCGTCTGCTCCGAGAGGTAACGCTGCTGAACTTTAACACATTAGCTGATCATGTTAAGTAGTAGAAGAATCTATAAATGACTTGTTGAGAGGGTCCAAGGACGAGCATTCACTTGAGACGTAGAAAGAGACATACATTTCTGTCAGTACTTACATGCTGAGTCTATAACCTGCTTATTCTGTTACTATCACATCCCTTTAAAAAGAAAAATATGAAAGAATAAATAGTTTACTTGACAATCGAAATCTTAAAGTGTAGGTTATAATTTAGGTACTTTCTAAGTTAGTGTGTGTATATAGTCTGTTCTAAAAGGTCAAATACATATACACTGATCAAAATTATAAACACTTGTTTTTGTCCCCATTCATCATGAGCTGAACTCAAAGATCTAAGACTTTCTCTATGTAGACAAAAGGCCTATTTCTCTCAAATATTGTTCTCAAATCTGTCAAAATCTGTGTTAGTGAGCACTTCTCCTTTGCCGAGATAATCCATCCACCTCACATCCACCTGCCTGAGGCAGGCACACCTTTGCCAGCCTCAGGCACACTCAAAAGGCCACTCAAAAAACTGTGCAGTTCCATCACACATCACCCAAGTGTAACCACACCAGACCAGGACCTCCACATCCAGCATCTTCACCTCCAATATCGTCTGAGACCAGCCACCCGGTCAGCTGCTGCAACAATCGGTTTGCATAACCAAAGAATTTCTGCACAAACTGTCAGGAACCGTCTCAGGGAAGCTCATCTGCATGCTCGTCGTCCTCATTGGGGTCTCGACCTGACTGCAGATCGTCATCGTAACCGACTTGAGTGGGTAAATGCCCACATTCGATGGCGTCTGGCGCTTTGGAGAGGTGTTCTCTTCACGGATGAATCCTGGTTTTCACTGTACAGGGCAGATGGCAGACCGCGAGTATGGTGTCATGTGGGTGAGTGGTTTGCTGATGTCAATGTTGTGAATCGAGTGACCCGTGGTGGTGGGGTTATGGAATAGACAGGCATGTGTTATGGACAACAAACACAGATGCATTTTATTGATGGCATTTTGAATGCACGGAGATACCGTGATGAGATCTTGAGGACCATTGTTGTGCCATTCATCCACGACCATTCCCTCATGTTGCAGCATGATAATGCACAGACCCATGTTGCAAGGATCTGTTATCTGTTACATAGAGAAAGTCTTAGATCTTTGAGTTCAGCTCAAGATGAATGGGGGCAAAAACAAAAGTGTTGCGTTTATAATTTTGTTCAGTGTATACACGGCATATAGTTGTATTTGGAGGAAAAAGTAGTTGGGTTTTAAGAACTGTTGGAACATCGTTGTTTAGTTGAGCTAAAATCAGGAGCCAGATAGCACTGCATAACAAGAATAGGGTTGGGCGATGTCTACAAAATTTCCATCGGACAATGTCTACAATGAATCATAGGGTGCGCGCGCGTGGGGGTCAGCAGTCGTCTTATGTGCATGTGTTCTCGCACAGACTTCACTCGGTAAAAACAAATGGCAGACTATTAACTTACGGTACAAGTCGCGGTGGATATTTTACGTACGGACCAGGTAAAGCAGCATTGAACACACAGGGTGCAAATGTTGGTTTCAGTTGTTTGATAGTCTGCGTCATTAATAAGCAGACGTGCGGCTCGCCTGCTGCCGTGATAAGGGACCGGGGGTGGAAATATATGGAAAAAAGGCGAGTTCTCAGTCTTTTAGGTGACTTTATAAAACATACTGCTGATGAAGAAAATGGAGCAGATGGGGAGAGAGACGATGGCGTCGTCTATCAGCCCAACCCTAAACAAGAAGCTCACGGGTAGAAAAATGTGGAAAATAAGTCTGTAAATAGAAACACTAACAGGAGTACGAGTTTTGATATGTATATTTTGTCTGTGTATGTTTGTTTCTGACTGGATTTCTGTCCTCCTGACAGGTGTCTAAGGTGCAGAAACACCAGTGCTCGTCCCTGGCTGTGAGTGAGGACAGTCGATACCTGCTGACAGCAGGACACAATGCTGTAAAAGTGTGGGATTATAACATGCAGCTCAATATTAACTCGCAGGTAAGAGAATGAATACTTTTTAGATTAATACTATTGCATGGAATATTAACTACAGAAAGTTCCTGTTGCTGATTTATTTATTTTAAAAGTACAATTCAAATAAGCACTGAATGCAATGTAAAAGTACTTTTAACACAGATTTCAACCTGTCAGTTAACAGCTTGTGAAAACAAATAAGTACAGTGGGCAGGCAACCAACAAACATTTTTATTAACAATTAATCTGCAGATTATTTTCTCTCTGAATTGATTTAGTAGTTTGGAAAATTGTAATGGGTTGTTTTCTGATATTTTTTAGACGAAGTGCCAGTTTATCCATTTGTTGGTCAAACAATTTCTTGGTCTGATTTACAGTCCAAAGCCCAAAACAAACAAATGTCTACATTTAAGGAGCTGAAAACAACTAAAACTAATCCATTAATCAACTAATTTAAGATAAAAGTTATTTTACTATTGAATGTACATCTTTTAGTGTATTCTGTGATTATGCCATTAAAAAGTCAGGTAATTTTACACAGTAAAATCTTAAGAGCAATTACAATTGCACAGTTATGAGGTAAAATGTTGCAGTCATCATTATCATAGAAAGTATGTTACCTTCCTTGATAGTATTATGTGTGTCAGTAGTAACTGAAACAGGTGTTTCTCTCTATCAGATGTTCATAGGCCACAGTCAGGCCATCCGCCAGGTGAGCTTCACCCCTGACCAGCTGGGTGTTGTCTCAGTTGGAGATGCCATATTCCTCTGGGACTTCCTGGCACATCCTGTTGACTCTTTGACTGATAACCGGTAATAATCCCTGTTGTATGTTTGGATCTTTGGTGTTAATGTGTGTGTTTTTGTGTTTTATTGGTAAATGTCCGATACACTCTGTCTTCACTCACAGTTCACCTCTCAGAGTAAGCCACATCTCAACTCCTCGATCAGGTAACTAGATTAAGAGTTCTTAGTTATGCTATAATAACAGAAGATGTACGTGATTAAATTTTTTTCTCTAAACTAATCTAACAGTTCAACCAGGAGCTGAAGTGAGTCGAGTTCAGTTGTCCACTGGGATGCCTCGACAGACAGCGCCTCTCCCCTCCTCACCACCACCACGACTGGATGTCAGCACCCTTGACCAAGTTGACCAGGGGGGTGAGTTCTCTATTTCAATTTTAAATGACTAACCAGCAATTCCTATTTATTACTATCCATAAGCTGTCAAAACTGAACATCTTTTGCACACACATTTGTAGCTGATAAGAAAAATATGATGTATTTACACAAATCTACCTTTGTGTTCATAACTTAGCAGTGACCTAACTAGTTCACGCAATTTCAGTAGCTAATAAAAGTAGATTTACACATATAAATTATATTATAGGCTTACACCTTATATTCCTTGCAATGTCAAAATCTTTGAAATGTGTTGAAATGCCTCTCCCTAGACATTTCTCTTAATGCATGATTGACTTGTCTGTTCATTAGTGAGTAGACTTTAGACAATGGCAATGTATTGACAGAGTTGTAGTTTTGGGCAGTGCAAGAAAGAGAAATCCATGCTCCCTCAGCATTCAAAATAAATGATTGCAAAAAAAACATACCATTCGATTTCCCATTGAATTAGAGGAGGAACAGTGTGCTCTGCAGGGTTTTAATTGATTTTTCTGGACTGCTTGGGTGTTGCATCTCTTGCTAAAGTCTAAAGTATTTGCCTCTACAATGAGTGCACCTGCCAACTTATATGGATTTACAGCAGGAAAGTAGGGCTGCACAATTAATCTAATCGCAATCTCGATGTCCTCATGTATGATTACATTACCGCAAAAAGTGTGCGATTTAATAAAACAGAGTGTGTGACACTCGCTGTGCGCTGCAGTCTGCTCATTATCCCCGCCCACACCGAGCTCTTGCATGTGGCTCTACAAACATAGAGGACTATGTGCAATCAGAAAAATGATTTATGAGCTGTGTGCAAGTAAATTTTAAGACAACAACCTGCCTTAAGCCCCCTCCCTGCCCCGCCGCTATTGTTCAAAACATAGTTGGACTCTCCACCGGAGCACCAGTCGCTCTGTGACAGAGACAGAGAGACGTCGTTGACAGCTGAAGCAGTAAGACAGAAGAAAACAGGGAGAAGATTAGGAATGTTTTGGTTTGGCTCGCTGGCCATTTAACGTTTTAACGCTATTTATCGGTTTATTTTTGTTGTTCAACTTTTCATAAAGTCGACGTGCCTGTAAGTTTCACTTTTCGTTAACTGACCAGTCACAACCTGGATGGGTGGGACGTTAAACAGCAAATATTCAAATGATGAACAATATGATTATTGACAAGTTTGTTCTTAGCATTAACAAATTAGAGACCAATGTAGAGCCTCTTTCTTGCTCAAGGATTTAATGAATAAATAAAACCCCACCAAAATTAAACAGCTGTAATGGATTTAATATTCAGCTAGTGGTAACATAGTAGGCAATACTATTATATGAAATTATGATGGATATATTAATTATTATATGCTATTATTATTATACTAACATTATACTATTAAATGAACATAATCCTCTTTATTTAATGTCTTTCTGACCCCAGGCAGGATGAGCCAGCGCCATATAATATTATCCTAATACACTGTATACTAGTTCCTCCTCCAGGTTGTGGATGGAGTCTCTGTAATGAACAGATGTAGATTTATCCATCCAGGCATACTGGCATCCATCCAGAGTCAGGATGCCAGTATGCCAATGTTTGCTCCTTCTAGCTGCCTCCTCCGTAGAGCAACACGCTCCCTTGGTTCTGCTTTATTAGTTCCTGTTAAAAATATTGTTTATTGTTTAACTTTGTTCAAAAAAGACATTTCAAAATGTCAATATTCTGTGCATTTTCCTTGATAATCAAGCAAGTAGACTCATAGTACCATGTGTTCCAATATAATTGAATTGCTACCGCAAATAGCAATATTGTCCACAATAATCGCAATATGAATTTTTCTCCAAATCGTGCAGCCCTACAGGAAAGTTAGAATAAAATATGATTAGATGATAGCATTTGTACCTACTGTATGTATAAATATAAAACATAATACTGGCTGTCTAATTGAAGCTGAAGATTGCTTTTGACAGCTGTTAATGGCCAAGAGGCTTGCTGATTATCCACATGTTGGTGGAGTTTACTTGGTTAGTCAGGCCAGTAGAAAATAAATGGATTTCTTGTGGACTTGTTAATTGCATGCTTGCAGTGTGTCAGCAGTCACTATGCTCGTTTATTTTATATTCAGACACAGCTTTGTAATGCTCCTAAATGAAATGTTTCAGATTTGGGTACATATTTATCAGGAACCTCTCTTTAAAATACAGGGACACAATTATTTTAACACTGATTTTAAATCACTGATTTGAGTAGCAAATATCTCAGCTGTTCTCAAAGTAGTAGTAGTAGTTGGGTTAGCAACATCAAGATTTACTTGCAGTAGTATGAGGAATTTATCTGTTGCTAATGGCTATAACAGAGGTTTTCAATTGATGCAGGGACATGATGATTAGGTTTATTTCTCTCCGGTTTCCCGCCTGCAGTTTTGGGCTCCTTGTCTATTTGTGATGACACCACAACCGTCCCAGCTGTTCCAGTCCCAACCACTGGTTCACGTCCTTCCTCTGACCGCCGGCCTGCTGTTTCCTTCCTTAAGGTCACAGAGCTGGTCAACCCATCTCCTCTGAATACCAGTCATATGGATGCTGGTAAGTGCGCCAGTGTATTGTTTGGCATTAACAGTGAACTGACTTACTTTTGTTACTTTCTCCTTTTTTGTATCCTTTCTTTTTTTTGAAATGTATATTTTTATTAATAATTTATTTTGTCATTTAGTTGAGTTGAAAGGGAAGAAGCCAGTACGCCCTGATTGTTACAGGCACTTTATCCCTCGTTTCAAGAGCTCCACTCTTGATCAGGTAAAAAGAGCATGTTGTATAATGATCGACTGTATCAGTTCAGTGAGTGTGAGATTAGTTAGTTTGCTGGCCCGTCTTAATGTTTTCTCTGATCCAGGCTGCCGTGGCTCCCCAACCAGGAGAAGAGGGCATAAAGCTGAAAGCAGTGATTGGCTATAATGGCAACGGGCGTGGCAATATGGTGTGGAGCCCTGACCAAGGTTATCATAATATACTCAAATTAAAAGTAAAACAAAATATTTTTTGGGAACAGTTAAATGCTGGCTGTCAAATCCAAGTGCTGTATTATTGTGAGCAGTGAAATATGATTTAAACAGCTTCTTGTCTGTGTCTTATTCTAATTAAGATTAAATAAAGATATGAACTATAGCTTGGACACTGTCCACTGTCAGCTGTTTTAAAAAAGAGGGAGTGGTTATTGTTTTGCCCTATCCAGTGATCGATTTCTGTTGCAGGTTTGTTTGCATACTCATGTGGCTGTGTGGTGGTGGTGGAGTACCTTCATACAGGAAGTCAGAGACATTTGCAGGGCCACAGCGAGGAGATCTCCTGTCTGGCAGTCACAAATGATGCACAGGTACTTGTCACAGTTCTAGACTTCAGTCAATATAACAGTAGGTAGGGCTATGATCTGAAAATGCAGTACATTTATTTTTAGTGCTAAACATTGAGTCTCAAGTTTGGTGTTTCTGTTACTCTGAAAGCACATCGCTGGACGCACATAACTAGTGCTGTAACTAACGATTCTTTTCATTATCCATTAATCTGCTAATTTCTTTTTAAGATTAATGGTTCGTTTTCAGATTTTTTTTGTCAGATTTATATTGTATATCATATAACGCAAAAAGAAGCAACAAATCCTGCCATTTGACCCTGAGACTGTAGCATTTTTTTCACTAATTATGCTTGAAAAATGACTGAAACGGTTAAATAGTTGCCAATTATTTTTCTGTTCATTGACTAATCGATTAATCAACTAGTATAATTAGTTAATTAATTAGTTAAGTAATAATAATCAACTGATATTTGAACAGAGTGGTGACTCTTTAAGGAAATAATGTAGAATGAACATCACTTTCAGCATGCTTATTAGGCTCGTTTCTAAAATTTACACATATCCGGAACTGCTCTTGAAAAAGCAAATAGGGAAAGTGAGCACAAGTGGATAAGCAAGATTTAATGAACAGATGACAGTATCACCACAAAATGAATGTGCTTACAGAGACAGTGTGTGGAACCTGTGATCATCTCTTCATGTGGTTGCTCCTGAAATGTTTCTATGTAGTGTCCAAATTGTAATTAAACATATAACACATTGTGGACATTTGGCACCATGTGGGAGAATCACAGCAGATTGTGAGGAAATATTTCCCAAGTTCATTACTAGATCAGACTAGACAGAACTGGCCTCAGCCAGTCAGCTCAGCAGGGAAGATCTCAGGTAGGCAGGCGATCACTACCTCAGAAAAATTAACTGGCCCCAGCTGTTTGGCAAGACGCACAAAAGGAAACTAACATCTATAAATCCATTCTCCCCCGGAGACCAGAGAAGGACATGTCTGATCACTAACCCACTTTAACACTTGATTGTAGAGCAGAAGTTGGCTCCAAGTGAGGCCCTGAGTACACTTCTAATGTGTCAAATAATTATGGAACTCAACACAGACAATAATAAATGACCAAAGGAAACTCACAAGGCTGCTTCATCAATGTATTTAAGCAACCGGTTCCATTTAAATGAATGTATTTGTACAATACAGTGCACATACTCAACAATAGTGGGGCCCAAGAAGTCCAGGATTATGAAACAGGCTATTTTTCTCGTGTTCGGCATCCAGACGGTGGCATCAGCAGCTGGCGGCAGCAATGGTAGCAAGAGCCTCATCTGCATTTGGGATGTCCTGAGTGGAACTTGTCGTAATACCATCTCCTACCACAGGGGGGCGGTGCAAAGTCTTGCTTTCTCCAGGGATGATTGCTTCTTTCTCTCTGCTGGTCAGTAAAGTTTGAATAGGATTGCATCCATTAGTCATGAGTCCTGTCATTTTAAACTTGATGTTTTGCACCACTTTAAAATGCAAAAATACACTAAATGTCGCTGTGGCCAATCAAGTGACTGGGCTAATAGTGATTCTTCCAAATGTCCCATAGGAGACTTTTCGGACCTAGAGGTGGCTCTGTGGAGCTGCAAGACCTTCCAGCTGCTGTCCAGTGTGAGTGTGTCAGGACCGATCCATGACGCAGCCTTCAGCCCCTCTGCAGCCAGCCAGCTTGCCTGTGTGGGCAGCGAAGGGGCTTACTTCTGCCTCATCCATACACATGGCTTGGATGTAGACCTCAAGGTAAATGACCACAAAAAAACATATTTAAAGATTTTGTAAAGAATGTATGTGTAATTGACAAAACAAGATCCATTATTTGCTGATCCACCATTTTGGCTTAAGACGTGATGGTACAAGAATAAACCACCCTTTCACCCTTGTAGGTCCAGAGGGTGAAAGCACCCGCAGAGGTGGGTGATGTGGAGCTGACGGCTCTGTGCTATCACGTGGACACCTTTCTCTTCACTGCCACCAATCGAGGACATGTTTGCGTCTGGGACGTTAACACACAGCAATGCTTCATGACCTGGGAAGCTGATGAGGGGGAGATTGGTACAAATGGACCCTCTGTATATTCTGACCATTTAGTTTACATAACAATATTTTCAGCTTTAGTGAATCATATAGAAAAAACAACAGCATTATTCTCTTGTAGTAAGTTGTACTGAATTAAAGTGCTTTTCATGTCACTTGGTAAAATACATACAGTCATTTTGACTGATGTGGCTTTCATGTAAATGGATTGATATGGTTTCTTTGTGTAGGAATGCTGCTGTGTCGAGGGAACCGTCTGTTGACAGGCAGCAACACCCGCTGGTTGAGAATGTGGGAGGTAGAAGCTGTACAGGGCATGAAGCCTCAGGCAAACGTCTGCAGTGGGGAAGACAGGTCTGTAGCTCATTCTCCTGTTCTTCCTGTGTCCTAGCCAGGCAGTAGCGTCTTTTTGTGTGATCTATACATGCATGCCAAAGGGCAAGAACATAAGTAAAAAAGCTATAGTATATTTATGATTTCTGCTTTTTTTTTCTTTTTTTTTTTCTCTTTTCTTGTAGTATTTCCTGGTTTTCATCCCCTACAGATTTTGCACATTTCAGAATACCTTAGTTCTCATGGGTTGTCATTCTGCATTGTAAAATAACCCTGTATTTCATTTTGATGTGACTGTGGGCAAAGAGGGAAAGTGTGGTTGACTCTTTCATAATAGAAAGGTAGAAGAGGATAAAACAATTCAAAAGGAGGATTTTGGATGGCATATAAGTGAGTCTCTTAAAGTAAGTTTTATGACGTGATGTAACTCTGAAATTTGATGTCAAATATGTACAACAGCCTTTTGGTGGTGAAAGGGGCACTTATGGATACATTTGTGGGTGGGTGGGGATGGGGGGGGGTTCTCCTGGTAATAATGCCAATCAATTTGACATTGACTGGAAAAAATAACCTCTTGTTTCCTAGCAACTACTGTATATTTTGCTGCATTTTGAGCTTTGTGATGTCGAGGTTAAAAGTGTTCCCTTTCACTTAATTTGAACTGGTTAATCAGGTCTCTGTAAATGGCATTTGGTACTTTTTATTCTGCCACGCCAGCGATAGCCGTGGCCGGAGGCAATATGTTTTTGGGTTGTCCGTCCAACCCATTCTCATGAAAGTGATATCTCAGACACGCCTGGAGGTAATTTCTTAAAATTTGGATATTTGGAAGGATGAACTGATTAAAATTTGGTGATCGAAAGTAATGGTTACTGTGACCTCACAAAACGCAGCCATAACTCAAGAACTGATGACCATATTTCAGTTGGTCGGACACTAAATAGGTGACACCTCTGTCTCAAATGTCATTGTGAACTCAAAAAAGATTTTTAGCATTTAATTTCTTGCTAAATTCCAGATTTCACACACATTAACTAGCACCGTACAGGATTTTCTCCATCTCACCCATTCTGCCTTTCACTTCTTGCCTCATTCTGAATTTCGAATGACCTCGGAATCACATGACTACAAACAACTTATTTGATTGCACTTAGCTAATTGTGATCCTGTAAGTGAGTTTCTGCTACAATTCATAGAGAAACATTACATCAAAAATTCCTGGAGAACACACAAGCACCACATTTTGTGTAGCTACTCTCCACTGCACTCTAGGTGATGGTCAGGAAATATATAAAAGAATAAACGCAGTATACGCAGTTAATTAAAAAAAATGATGTGCCTGACAGCGGCTGTCTTAATCATAACACGTGTTTATACGAATGTGTTATTATGCTTTTATGGTGCTTTTTCTGCTAGGCCTCACTTGTGGGCTTTTTTTTTTTTCTTTGCACTATGTCATGTATAAAACAAGCATAAAGATGTTTCTATGTGTTTTATATGAAACTGATGGCGAATGAAAATATGTCACTCTCTCACCCTCAAGTGGTCGGGTCTCCTTTTAATAATGGGTTCTTTGTTTTTGGTCGGCTGTCCTTCAGTGGGACCATGGTGGTGTTGGAGCAGGAGATAATGCTGGATGGGACAACGGTCAGTGCGGCATTCGACAACACAATGGACATGGGTATCGTTGGCACCACAGCGGGAACGCTCTGGTACATCAACTGGTCAGACAACAGCAGTACCCGGCTGGTCAGCGGGCACAAGACCAAGGTACCATATGCACATCCTGTGTCTCCACCAGGGGCTGAAACATCAGCTTATAACTTTGAAGCAACAATTTTAACAAGATGTTAAAATTGTTGTCACATTTGCCTGTCCATGGTATCTTTGTGTGTGTGTGTGTGTGTGTGTGTGTGTGTGTGTGTGTGTGTGTGTGTGTGTGTGTGTGTGTGTGTGTGTGTGTGTGTGTGTGTGTGTGTGTGTGTGTGGTGTGTGTGGTGTGTGTGTGTGTGTGTGTGTGTGTGTGTGTGTGTGTGTGTGTGTGTGTGTTTTTCTTATTTTTGATTGCTCCATTGTCCATTGAAATATCTCAACTATTGGACAGATTGCCATTAAATTTTGTACCAACATTCATGGTCCCCAGAGGACGAATCCTGTGACCTGTCCTCAAGTGCAGTGGTTCCCAACCTTTTTTTCCTTTTCCTATGATGTAATTACTTACTAATAGCAAACAAATGGAGTCAAATGACACTACGGAGCAACAGTGAACGCACCACTGCAGATGTCACTCACTAACGTTAAGTTTCAGTTTCGATCCACATACAGCACACTTGAAAACTGAATCACAGGGGAATTTATTAAACAGGGCAACTTTATGAAACGTACTGCTGATGGAGAAAGTCAGCTGAGACACATACAGGGAGAGAGAGACAGGAAGAGGCAGAGCAAGCCAGTGTGTTGCCGTGAGACACCAGAGCAGGCTAGGTGTGTGTGTGAGTGTGGGGAGAAGAGCAGAGGAGCAGATTCAAGTAAATAAACCCTAAACTATAAGGTGGAAAATGACCTACAATAACCTACTGTTAATACAAATAGCGTACAATATACACCGCTACCGAGCCCACCCCCCACCAGTCGCTGCCGCCACAGTTGCACTGTCTTAATGAGAGCTCCACAGTCAAATGAGCAGGTGTGTCGCGGTTCTGTCTCTCGGATCCGCGACACGAGATCATGGACTTTTGTGTCAGGATTTTGGTCTCTGTTTCAAAACCATTACAGCCCTACTACTAAGTAGTCTGCCTACTGTTTTAAGTGAGGAAAAAAATGTATACAGACTTTTGTATAAATTATCTGTTGTTATCACGATTTTTTGAAATGTGCAAATCAAAGTTTTTTTGACAACCTCAAAACAGATAAAGCTTTGGGCACCCCCTGTGATCTCTGGCAACCCCCTCAGGGGGGCGCGGACCCCAGGTTGGGAACCACCGTTCTAGCGCCACCACGAGATTGACATTTGTGGTTTTGAATGAAACCTGTGAGAAACTCTTAGATAGCTAATTACATTTTAGCATGTTTTACATGGCAAACTTAGATGATAAACACATACGGTACCTGTTAATCATTTGCATGTTAGCATTTAGCTCAAAGCACCACAGTGCCTAAATAAATCCTGATAGAGTCGCTAGCATGGCTGTTGATCCTTCCTTGTTAATGCTTATTATAATACAAGTTTTTCTGTCATTGCAGTGTTCAACACTACACAGAGGTTGACAGTCTCTTAACTTGCAGATAATCCTTTTTAATGGAGGACATTTATACATGTCAAACTCAGATGTAACTAAAAACATTTGTAATGTCTGCATTGCTGTGATCATCTAAGCTTGTGATAATTTTTTTTTACTAGTAGATAATAGCCTAAACTATTGTGGTACTCATTAAATACTGTATATGGCTTGTTCTGTTAAATATATATGATGTAGCGCATTTGTTTCTCTGAAGGTTAATTAAGTTATATTTTAAGTATAAACATTTCTACTGACTGGTCTTCAATTCAAGTGATGAAGTCCACCTCCACAGTAATACATTGTGGGAAACCCTGCTCACTGGTACACTAAATGCAGAAACCATATTACGATGTCTGATTCGCCTGCGTTTCCTGCTAAATATCTGCAGTAAGAATATTTTAATGGCTGCCAGTTTATCACACATAAAAGGTGATTCCCAGGGAAGTGGAGTATTTCATTTTAAATTAAGTTTGCAGCTGTTAGAGAGAAATATTTAAACCAGGAAATGAAGATGATTAATAAATTAGTGTAAAGAAATAGCAGGGAAGCAATTAACAACTAGTGGTGACATTTCAATCAAGTGATGGCAAGGTCCCCAACACAATTAAACCTATTTAAGCGATTTTGAGATTACAGATGTTTGACAACAGGAAAATGAAAATAACTCTCCAGATCTTTGAGGGACTGAAAACATTTGATTAATGAGATGCTGTAGTACTAGGAAAATGCTGGCTTTTACCACTTAGTTGGTTTATCAAACCCAAAGGCTGTCTCAGATACAGTGAGGAAAATAAGTATTTGAACACCCTGCTATTTTGCAAGTTCTCCCACTTAGAAATCATGGAGGGGTCTGAAATTGTCATCGTAGGTGCATGTCCACTGTGAGAGACATAATCTACAAAAAAAAAAAAACTATTCATTTATAACTATTTATTTGTATGATACAGCTGCAAATAAGTATTTGAACATTTGGTACAGTAGCCTTTGTTTGCAATTACAGAGGTCAAACGTTTCCTGTAGTTTTTCACCAGGTTTGCACACACTGCAGGAGGGATTTTGGCCCACTCCTCCACATAGATCTTCTCTAGATCAGTCAGGTTTCTGGGCTGTCGCTGAGAAACACGGAGTTTGAGCTCCCTCCAAAGATTCTCTATTGGGTTTAGGTCTGGAGACTGGCTAGGCCACGCCAGAACCTTGATATGCTTCTTACAGAGCCACTCCTTGGTTATCCTGGCTGTGTGCTTCGGGTCATTGTCATGTTGGAAGATCCAGCCTCGACCCATCTTCAATGCTCTAACTGAGGGAAGGAGGTTGTTCCCCAAAATCTCGCAATACATGGCCCCGGTCATCCTCTCCTTAATACAGTGCAGTCGCCCTGTCCCATGTGCAGAAAAACACCCCCAAAGCATGATGCTACCACCCCCATGCTTCACAGTAGGGATGGTGTTCTTGGGATGGTGCTCATCATTCTTCTTCCTCCAAACACGGTTAGTGGAATTATGACCAAAAAGTTCTATTTTGGTCTCATCTGACCACATGACTTTCTCCCATGACTCCTCTGGATCATCCAAATGGTCATTGGCAAACTGAAGACGGGCCTTGACGTGCTGGTTTAAGCAGGGGAACCTTCCGTGCCATGCATGATTTCAAACCATGACGTCTTAGTGTATTACCAACAGTAACCTTGGAAACGGTGGTCCCAGCTCTTTTCAGGTCATTGACCAGCTCCTCCCGTGTAGTTCTGGGCTGATTTCTCACCTTTCTTAGGATCATTGAGACCCCACGAGGTGAGATCTTGCATGGAGCCCCAGTCCGAGGGAGATTGACAGTCATGTTTAGCTTCTTCCATTTTCTAATGATTGCTCCAACAGTGGACCTTTTTTTCACCAAGCTGCTTGGCAATTTCCCCGTAGCCCTTTCCAGCCTTGTGGAGGTGTATAATTTTGTCTCTAGTGTCTTTGGACAGCTCTTTGGTCTTGGCCATGTTAGTAGTTGGATTCTTACTGATTGTATGGGGTGGACAGGTGTCTTTATGCAGCTAACGACCTCAAACAGGTGCATCTAATTTAGGATAATAAATGGAGTGGAGGTGGACATTTTGAAGGCAGACTAACAGGTCTTTGAGAGTCAGAATTCTAGCTGATAGACAGGTGTTCAAATACTTATTTGCAGCTGTATCATACAAATAAATAGTTAAAAAATCATACATTGTGATTTCTGGATTTTGTTTTTTGATTATGTCTCTCACAGTGGACATGCACCTACGATGACAATTTCAGACCCCTCCATGATTTCTAAGTGGGAGAACTTGCAAAATAGCAGGGTGTTCAAATACTTATTTTCCTCACTGTATATAGTGGTAAGAGTGTAGCAACCACAGTAGAAAATGCCTGGTGTGTCCTGAGCAAACTCTGTTTTTAGACACAAGGCTTGTGTTGGTAACATGGTGATCCAGGATTGACAGGTATGTGTTCAGGCAAGAAGCTCTTGTTGTGTCCACTCTCTAACCCGGGATGCTTCATTCTCTGCATGTACTCCTCTCTACTGTCCAGGTGAATGATGTGGTGTTTAGCCCTGACGAGGGACAGTTTGCCACCTGCAGCGAGGACGGCAGTGTGAGGGTGTGGGCAGCACCCAGCAACGAACTGGTGGTGCAGTTCCAGGTGCTCAACCAGGTAAAGGAATACGCTTAAACCTTAGGTATTCTAAATTAATAGGTGGATCAGGTCCAATATAAACTGAAGGAACATGATGCTTTTTCTAATGGACACCTCGATTAAACATCTTGGACAAAAAAATTATGCAAATATAAGAGAATAAATTGCACACCACTGAAAATGATTATGCCTTTTGGATTTTTTAAAGCTGTAAACAAGATGGCATATGTAGGTACAATCACAGGCACTGTAGCATACACCTTTTCAACAGTATCCCCTCCTGTTTTTCTCTGTGGGTCAGGCCTGTGGCTGTGTATGCTGGAGCCCTTCTTCCAGTAAGGACAGTGTGTGTGTGGCTGCGGGATACAGCGATGGCACCCTGAGGATCTTCCGACTTGCCTCCTCAGAGATGGAGATGAAGCTGCATCCCCATCGAGTGGTTGTCACTGCCATCCAGTACTCTGCAAACGGTGAGAGGGCCTGCAAAGCCAAAAAGCATCTTTTGTATTTACCATCATTTTACTACTTGTTTTGCACACTTCCTCAGTATTCCTTGTCTCTGTCTGCTTACTTTGGTGATTGTTTCATGCCTTTTTACACCCTCCAGAGAAGAGCCATGAACTTGTTTGATCCAGGTTTGGCTGTTTCTGGCCCTACAGGTCATGTGATCCTTTCAGCCGGGAAGAATGGTCTGGTGGCTGTCAGCAGCTCAGTGAATGGAGCGACCATCCGCGTCATCAGGGACCACAAAGGAGCGCAGATTACCACCATCCAGTGTGTGAATGAACAGGTCAGCTCACTGTATCAGACCAAGGAGTGAAGCTTTAATAGAACTTAACATGGCATCACCGTAGAAACAGTGAGACAGGCTAGAATCGCCCGAGATAAGCAACATTTACAATCATAGCCAAAAATATGGGCACAGGTGAGTTTGATTACGAATTAAAATGGCATCACATGCTTGAAATACAATTATTTCTGAAGATTTTGACAGGGTGCCAATAATTTTCTATGAGTTCTATGTGGAATGTCTCAGATTGGACCTTTTTTTTTTCTCTCCTTTTTGTTGTTGTTTCAGTGCAAACAAAAGAAATAGACATGATGATACCAAAGCATTTGTGATTGCGACAATATTCTGGGAGAAGTAGTGCATTATGTGACAGACGTGCAGTGGTGCCCAGTCCATAACTGTAAAGTGAGCGACTACCAAAATTGCTCCTGAAAGCGCAACAGCAATCACTTGTCAACCAAACACTTTGGACAGTGCTCTGAGTAGTTTTTTTCTGTGTATATTCAGTTCTGCTGCAGCTCGTGTCAATGCTTTGCTACTTCTTGAATGTACTTTCAACTTATGTTTCTGCGGGCAAATACAACCCGTATCGTGTTACCTGCGAAGACTTACGCAGTACCACAAATGTAAACTCTTGAATGAACTGGAAATATACTGTATAATCACTAAAAATCAGAAATAGAAAATAGCAACACTGATGTTTATTTCTATGAAAATGTCATTGACCATTTCTTTAACGAATGTAGATTTTTGCTTTCAGTGACATCACTCCATTTAGAAAATGGTGTGCAGTCTTCAAAAAACTAGTTTCGAAATTGATCTATACAATTAATAATACATATTAGGCGGAATAATAAAACCGTACCAGTGTCTTTGTCAGAGGCATTGAATACCTCTATCTGTTCCTGAATAGGTAGACATATACATGTGATCTTTTAAAAAATACTTCATTTGTGTGACACCTCGTCGTCATATAATGTTCGTTGGGAAGTGAACTAGCACTCGGCTTTTCTGACACAGATGCTGTTGATTCTGCCAGCCCCTTGTACAGTACAAAGAATTGTCTGACATTTCCTTTCATCCGCTCTCCGCAGCTACAGCGTCTAAGGTTATTGATCATATATGATGCTTTTTAAATACGAGGAACAAAAGTGCCCATTGAATTTCTTCCTTTTGGTTCTAGTGACATTTTCTGACATTTCCTCACATTTCCTCATCAGTACCTGTCTGAAGCTGTATCTTCTAATCCCCAGTGCAAGAATTTTGGACTGGAAGGAAATGAGATGTGGTTGGCTGCCAGTTCTGACAGACGCGTCAGTGTGTGGGCTGCTGATTGGTGGAAGGACAAGTGTGATCTGCTAGACTGGCTGACATTTCCTGCCCCGGCCTATTTTGGGGTACTGTCAATATTTTGAGTAGCTCTACATGGTAATTACTAGAAATGTCACTCCAAATGATGAGTGCTGCTGTATATCTTTTTTTTTTTTTTCTTTCTTTCTTATTTGACCTTATGTAAATGTAATGTGACCGTATCTTAAATATGGATGTAAGCAATGAAGGACTTAAAAAAAACAAAAAAAAAAAACGAAATGCATTCAACATTGACCTCAAGGATTAAATTAAATAAATAGATAAACCTTTTGTGCTATAGGATGAAAGCCCACCTCCCAGCCTGGCTGCTTTCTGCCCTGCAGACCCTAGTCTGGTGGTCTACACTGGCTACGGAGTGGAGAAAGAGCTGTCCTTCTACAGCCTTGTTAAAAAACAGGTACCGCCGCTGCCTCTGCTTCACTCCTCTACCACCATGTTGTGTTTTGTGCTCTACCTGTTCACGGCAGATGTTGCTGGCGGAATCTCACATATCATAATATGTTTTTTGACAACAGATAATAAAAAAGATTGCACTGCCCCACTGGGCCACATGCATCAGCCTCTCCGGTAAGAGTCAGCTCATAGCTGTGGGATCAAAAGGTAGGATCTTGTTTTTCTTTCTCCATTTGGTTCCAGTAAATAAATTAGATTTCAGTAGTGTAAATTTGGAGCATGTTTGTAATTAATGTCTCACTATTTGTCGAATCTCTCACCAGAGCGAGTGTTGAAGTTGATCAAGTCGACCAGCGGCAGGTTCCAGGACTTCTTGCAGCACAGTGACTCTCTGCAGACGTGCCACTTCTCTCCCTCTGGGACACTTCTTTTCACTGTGGCTTATAATGAGATCCTGCTGTGGGAAGTGCAGGGCCTCTGAAGGCCTCTGAGATCTGTTTTTAAACCTCAAACGGTGTAGGTTTATCCCCTTTCACATGTGCCTAGTGTATATCTTTACTTTGTCATTTTATTGTTCCGCAGATTTTTTTTTTTATTCAAATATTACTAGGTAAATTGTTATGATTTGAGGAGAAGCTTTGTGTAAGAGTGAAGATTATGTTTTGTGTGTGATTTTTAAAATACAGCCGTTTTCTAACATGTTGAATGGATTTGTTTTGTGTCCAGTCACTTCCAATGTTTGATTATTTTTTTTTAGCTTTTCTTACTTTGAGTTTGAATGTGTGTTTGAATGTGTGTCCTGTCTGCTGTTTTTTCCAGTGGTAGATAGGATCTTGAATTGAGGGCTACTCTGCAATGGGAAGGAGTTTTAATAAAAAGCAGCTTGTAAAATTACAATCTGTATTGTATGATGAGTCCATGGGGGGGGGGGGGGGGTTGGGGGGGGGGGGGGGGGTCTGACCCCCTAATTAAGGCTTGGACCACCCCAAAAGAGGCAAAAACAACAGTTTAGGGGGCGGGGGGTTCTTACCTGTCATTAAATATTACAATATATTTCCCATACTCATGCCTTATATTCAAGAATGTTGAAGTAGGATTTCTGACACCCCTAAAATGGACCATATCATTTCCTAACCTTGAAGTTAGTTGGACAAGACTGCCTGCATCATTCGCTGTTCAGCTACTCCAGTCCAGTCCACCACACGCTGGTGGAGACACTGTAAGTTAATGTCAGTAGTTAGCTTAGCTGCTTTAATGCACTTAACTTTCCAACCTTCAGAGTTTCGTAATTAGCATTTATTTTACTTTAAATGAGCTATGTGATGTTAGCTAGCTGATAGCCCACCCTGTCATTTCATTACCACTATATCATTTCATATTTTATGTAGACCTGATTGTTAGCCAACACTGGTGTTTAGGCATGATGAGCAGGGAAATTGAGGATTAGTTATTGTAGATACACATTTTGACATCAATATAGATTTTATTATTACATTTTAAGTATTTTGTGAGTCTTTCTACAATAAGCATGGTATTTGTTTTCACTCTGGAATTCAGGAGTGTTACTTGGCTAGGTAAATGTTAAAATCCAGGTGTGTTATTTCAAATTTATTCAGTTTTATTTATATAGTGCCAGTTCACAACAAAAGGCATCTCATTGCACTTTCTATATAGAGCAGGTCTAGACAGTACTCTGTTTAATATTTACAGAAACCCAAAAATTCCCAATTCCACAACTGTGTATGACAACTGCTTAATTGAACGCAGATTACATTTAATTCACAGACAACATGAGCAGGAGGAATGGAGATATTTACTAAAAAAAAGTTGAAACTTGAAATAATAAAATTTAGGAATTCGAGATGATAATGCAGACCGTATTTTAAGATAGTGTCTTTGGTTCTGGTTCAACATTGTGTGGGTGTGTTTTGAGCGGTCATGATGGTCTGCTGTTGTGTGTCTGACTTTCTGGCAGTTTTGCTGTAGAATAGTGACCTCTGAGCACAATAGTTGTCCTGTGGCATGGAGCACCCATGAACTGGTGTAATGAATTTGATTTATCATCATCTACAGACACACATTAGTTAAATAAGCAAGGATATTGTTAGCATTGTAAGATTTTAGTTTACTGAAGTCCGCTGGGTTTTCTTTTTGACCTGGGAAAAAAAGTTGATCCCCGCAGTCACTGCATAATTCGCACCCTGATTCCAACAATGGATACACACTGATGAAAGTAGACTGCTACAGCCAAAGACAGCTGTATTTTTAAGAAGGTGTCCTGTTAAGGAACATTTTTCTTCTTGAGTTTCCATTTTTGTTGGAGGACACGATGACAGAACTTCCTTTCTGTCACAGGGACTTAAATTTAGGTTAAGAGATTAATCTGTGGTGATTATCTTCACACATTTTATTTTATATACAGTGGGTGCTGCATGAAATAAAATGTACATAATGTGACCATAAAAATGGTTCAGATACTTAGATAGAGATCCCAACGTGCAGCACTGCCAGCATTTATTTACTGTTTTAAAGCAGTTAAGGAGATATTATGCAAACCAGTCTGAGGAGGTTGAGAGCACTTCATTTAATGCAAAAGCAGCTGGAAGATTGCCCCGCTGGCAGATTAAATCATGTCGAGAGAGGAAAATTATTGAACATTACGGACATGTTTGATACTGAAATATGAGCAAAGGTGGCAAACAAACACTGTAAACGGCAGTTGACATTTTGTTGAGAGCTCAAATTATCCTCTCCATTTCTCCTCTTGTGCTTTTGGAGATTGTTGTATAATACTTAAGTTTATTATACATATACACCTCTTTGTGATCTCCCTGTGTAATGTACTCTTACAAAATCCCTATTTTGACAATCAGTCTCTTTTTGTAAAGCAGAAGTGACTGTATCAGATGAGGAAAAGTGGTGACAGGTAAAAAAAAAAAAAGGACCTTAGTTTTTCCTTTATGGAATGACATCCTAAGAGAATTAAGAGGGATTGGAATTAATTTGCAAAATCCCCACCTGTCAGTTTTTTTCATTCTTATTGTCCTGTTTGTGCTTGAAGCAGTTTCTGTCATTCCAAAAAAGAAAATACTGTCTGAATATTATGTATACTTTCTTTTTTGTTAACTGTGGCTCTGGTGGTTTTGGGCCTTGCTCAAAGCTTTCTGGTGGCACTCAACGACCAACAATTTGAATATGACTGCTATCAGCCTTTCTGAATTATAGTCACCTTCTTGATTAAGATTTAGAAACTATATTGTGCCCTTCAAGAAAAAAGCTTGACAAAACAAGTTGTTTTGACCAGATTCAGCCCATAATTTTGATCATTAAATAGCATATTACTTGTATAAAAATGGTTGTGTTGTTAGAAGTGACATTTCACATTAATGGAGATGGAGGTTTATTAATTAATTTCTGAGGTATTACACTTAATGAAAATAAGACAATCATCTATCTCATCTGTCTTTTCTGATATTTAAACAATACCATACCTTGGTTCGTTTTATATTAAAAGCTGTTACAGTAAAAAATGTGCCAAGCATGTTGCTGTAAATTGGTTTTTGGGCAGAGGAGGAAAGCAGAAAAGTACATTTACCGAGGAGCTGTATTAAAGTCCGCGCGACCCTGTACGCAGGATAAGCGGTTGACGATGGATGGATGGATGGATGAATGGTTGTATTAATGTACAATTTAACGTACAGCAAAGATTCTTTTCTGTTCAGTTAGACTTTATTCCACTGAATTTCCGGTTGAAATATTTTTATTTCACTGTTAATGGGGACAATAAAAACATCTCCCAGTGCCAAATAGTCGCATAGGGTCTAAAAAAGGTAAGCACACCTACATACAATAATTAAGAAAGAAAATAATTTCCCACTCAACCTACCTTGTCTGGAATGAGGTTAAGAAGTTATATTTATTGAATTGGGCTTAAAATAAAATAAAATTAAAAAAATAAAAATATATATATGGTGTGTATGTGTGTATGTATATATGTATGTATATATATATATAATTAGTATGTAATTTAACATTTGTCTTTTCATGAACAGACTGTTGAATAGGAATCACAGTTTCCAGTTTAAACATTTGTGTTTAGAAATAATATTTTATATAATATTTTTATAAACTGGATGAGAAAGCACACATGGTCTGTTGTTTACCTTCTGGGCAGGAATGAGAACCTGTAGAGGATGCGGAGTACTGTGGCTACACTCAATTTGCACAGAGATGCTGCCACACTTTCTATTTCCCTCTGTCTGCTGCTGTTCTCCTCTACAGGAGAGAGCTTAATAAAGATAGCATGACTACTTTTCATTAGGACTGCAGGGTTATCACATAGGCCTAGTCCAATTCTTTACAACATAATTACGATTATAATTTCGATTTAATAGTGCCATTATGCTAAATACATTTTTTTTTTTTTACAGGCCCATTCTTTTACTGGATGTGGACATTAAAATCACCAAATGGCTTCCAGTTTATTGAAAGTATGTGTTTTCCATGAGCACCTCATAAAACACAATGTGAAGCTAACGTGGGCGACAGAGCGTTTGTTCGTCCAGCAGAGGGCGTGTTTTCACCGCCGCCTCTGTGAACCGGAACGATATGCTCTCACCTTGTGTGCATATCACAGTGGAGAGAGGCACACATTTGGTTGTAGCTAGACATTTGACATTCAAATGAAAGATAAAAGTCCTTGTGGTATTGCAGCGCGTCTGACTGTTCTTCAAACAGAGAGGAAACATGAAACAGGACGTCAGGATACTTTTACTGGGGGAGCGTAAGTCATTCGCACTGACAGCTGACCACAAGCTAAAACACTAGCAAACATTAGTTGTTGTAGCTAACTTACTAACTTCTGCCTGCATTTCCCGCTGTTACTCCTTGTGGCAAGGTGCTCTCTGAAAAGGGAATTGTATGTCTCTGCACCAATAATGTCCTATAAGATAAAATTATGTTTTCTAGGAAGTGGCCGCTTTCAAAATGTTAATTTCCGCCTCATTATGCTAACTTAGCTAGCTTAGAGTAACTTTGCTGTTGGTTAGTAGTTAACGTTAGCTGTCATAGAGAAGTTAGTGAACGTATCTTTTCATCGGCTAACTGATCAGCGGTCGTCCAGTGAAAACCAAATTAACGTTACACAAAAACAAAGATGTATTTTAATTGTCTGTTATTTTAAAAGCTCTCTGTTCGTTAGTAACGTTAAGAGACCGTTTACGTTAGCTGACGCTGCCGAATAACGCTGTTAATCTTATTAGCGTTAGCTAAAAATGATCCTGTTAGAAGAACCTTTATGTCACGAAGCTTTGAGAGAAACACTTCCCATTAACTGTAGGCTTAAATGTTATCTGTTGAGTAAAATGGCAGTTATTTGGCATTCTGCAAGAAAGATTTAATAGTGCATGTTTAATTCAGGGACTAAACACGTTGCTGTAACGTTACAGTTGCAATGAAAAAGTGTTTGCTTCGGTCCATATCAGGGAATGTATTATGTGAATGATAACATAGTTCCCTTAGTCAGCTAGCTTCCTGGTACGTGTTACGCTAAGTTAGTCACTTCATCATACAAAGCCTCATTGGATCATTGAGTCTTTGTCTGAGTCATATTGTCTCCTTCAACAGCCAAGGTGGGGAAGACTTCACTCATCATGTCTTTAGTTGGAGAGGAGTTCCCAGAAGAGGTAAGTGTCAGTACAACTACTCTGCACTCAAGCATCCTTTTTGCAAGAGGATGCTGGTCCCTGAAACCTGGAGGGCATTTCAAGTAGCTGGCCACCTTAAAGCCTTTGCTGACCCCTTTTTTCTAATTATCGCCACTGTAGTCAGCAAACTGGTTCATTGTTTCTTGGTGCTGTTCACTGCAGTTGACTTTGCATTATGTAAAATGTATAAGG